CCCCTTCAGCACCTGTCTCCTTGTTAAATTAATTCAAAATCAATCAATAACCCAATCAGATAAGCCATGTCCCTCGCTTTGCACACACATTTATCTTGCTCTGGTTAATATCCCAACAATGAGTCACCCGCCGTTTAGCCTAATTTTGGGAACTCTTACAATGGACCAGTCTGTTCAGAAGCTCACCGTTTATTTTCAATGTCAACAAAAGCGATGTTTCTTTAGAAAAGGAAAATGTCCCACTCAATATATTCAGGTGCTGATGAATATTTATCCCCAAACACACATCAGAATGATTTTTCATAAGAGCAGTTGAGTGCTGCTTACAAGAGCAACTTGCAGTCTTGTGCAATATCAGTAAAGCACAGCAACTCTATAAGGAAAAGACATATTCCCTTATGCAGCCCTAGGAATGCTCTATGTAAATGTTGCTGGCTATTTGAGCTGGGTTTAATCCTGAACTTGAACCTGATAAAACAAACACTTGTTAAAGATTCAGGTAGAGCTCTCTCCTCTTTGTCTCTCAGAAAATTCTTTGCATATATCCAAATGAAGGTAATCAAAGAGCACTGTGCGCTTGGCCCCTCTAAACACTTTTTACAATACTTTTTTGTCCAGAAAAGATCGTCAGATCATTTGGCTGATTAAGTTGTTGCTGTGAAGCCAGGAAAAAATATTTCAGAATTCTTGGAGAGGAGACTGTTTTCATGGCTGTGGGAAGACACAATGATCTTCCTCAAGAGCTGCATGTAACTTGTAGCTAGCAGCTAATGTTTTCTGCCAAAGGCACTACAGGTAATGACAGAGTGCAGTTTGCAGGTTCTTATATTGCAACACTGGAAATGTGACCATGGAGAGAACATGCACCATTTGATGTAGGCAATGCCCTAACCAAGTAGGTTTTGTCTTATCTACTTGCTGTGAGTGTATGTTTCCAACACTAGAGCTGACTTTTAGTTTCATTCAGAATGCGCGAGGTAGCGCTGAGTCCTACGTTCCTGGAGAGCAATTCATTGCCAAGTTGCTTCCTCTGTGGCTTTGGGTGAGTCTGATTCTACAAGGTGCTCGGCATTGTGCAAGATCAAGGTCCCAGCCCACCGAAGCTCTTAAATGTATGATTAATTTTTAGTCCCTTTGACTAAACTGCTTAGCTGGACTCACTCCCTGGCACTTAATCTTCCTGTTTGAATTTCAACATTAGCAAAATGAGGATAATTCTTTCTTTAATATAGAAGGATATGGTGAGCATTAATTAGCTAATATATGTGGAGTGCTTTGGAGATATAAAGGCTATCTAGATGTTAATTTATGCAGATAGTGGAAGACGTAGAGGAAAATAATTGCTATCTCTCACCTGTGTGCAGTTTCAGAGCAGTGTTCATTCCCTCACCCACTGAAGAACAGAAACTCAGCACCGAGACGAGCCCACGCTTAGGAGACACTCAGAACACTCTTATCAGATTTAACACACATTTCCATTTAAGGGAATGCAATCAGCTTTGTATTTGCATTTCCCTTGCAAATGAGCTTCACTGACTCCTCACAGTGTGCTTTGCACTATCTGCTTCCCATTTTTCAATGCTGTGATAGCACACTGTCTCAGCACTGTAGCACACTTTCATCTACCGTGTATCCATATTTAATTATGAACCTGGCAAGGAGACTCCAGTGTTGGTGACTGGAAGATTCTCACAGGTTCCTGTTTTGAGACACTGAGCTGGGGCTGCTCAAGATTTTGTTTTGGCCAAGTGCTTATCTCGGATCTAGAGATAAATAAATAAAGCACATAAAAGGAACTGTTTTATCTCACTTCACTTGAAGTTGTTAACGCAAGGTTTGTGTTAGAACAAGCACTGTAAAATGGCTTTGGTGAAGACGTCCCTGCAATTAGCTTGGAAGGTCTGTAGCAGTGGTGTTATCTCTCTGAAACGGGATCTGTTGGAATTGGAAAGACACGACTGCCACCAGATTGCTTTCCCACATGACAGAAGAAACAAAACATCACATATCACAGAGCTGGGCGTCTCCCCTTTCCAGGCAGGGAAAAGCCAAACAGCCCAACAGTTTTGGGGGCTCCCGGGACATCTGCCCACCATTTCCAGCCCACTCTCTCTGGCTGAGCCATGGATTAAGGCCTACTGCTGAAAATGAAGAGCAAACACTAATATAGTGCTTTACAGGAAGCTCTCCCGGTTTGTGTGGGTCTAAGTATAGCAAGAAGAGACCTAAGCAGGGCTAAAGAGGAGAATAAGGGCAAAAAGGCTCTGGACAAATCCCACAGAGTTCAAAATGTTGACAGACTGTTTCCAATCCAAGTAAGCCTGAAAGGGCCTAGTGCTTTTCAGCTGGGAAATGGCTTGAAAACATTTTGGCTGGTTCTGCCCACTGACCTGAGCAGCGATGAGCACTGAGGAGGGACAAAACATAGAGGAGACCATGAGGTGCAGCTCTGCATGCCACAGCTTTGCTCTTTGGTGTGGATCTGCCCATATGCCTGAGAGCAGAAGTGGCAGCTCTACCCAGTGGCTAAGATGATGAGAAAATTCACCTTAAATAGAGCTGCTACTGCCTGGCAAACACTATAGGTATGTCTGAGCTATAGCGAATAAAATCTCAGTGACAACTGCACCTGTACACATTGATTTACATTCTCTTTTTCCCTAAAGAGAAAGCATCAAGCTTTATTGCTAGTGAGGCTGGCGTTGATAAAAAACAAACACTCTGGAGGAACATGAAGTTTTCATAATTTTTATCTTTGTTTACCAACTTACGTTAGATTCCAGGTTAATTTTTTCCATTCCTAAGGTGAACCACTGCTATCTAGAGGGATGAATTACATCGCTAATGCAGCAACTGCATGAACCTTCTGACTGATACGTTGTGACTTTATGGAAATTTGCTTCTTGCCAGCAACAGGGATATCACCAGTGAGGTAATTGGAGCCCAGTTCATGGAGATAACAGCCATATGTCAGGGATTACTGCTAACACCAGAATTTCACCTGTGGAAGGCTCTGCTGACTGTTTGCAAAATTAAGTTTACAGTCCCTGAGCATAGAACTATGTTCAAATATTTAATTGCAGCAGACAGAGCTTACAACATTAAAAGCATTATGTAAAAATCCATACAGTAACACCATAAGAACCTGCCAGTTAGTGTCTGCATTAGAGCAAACCAATTACGCTGTTACAATAAGCCAATCTTTTTTAGAATTTACTACTGGCTCATCAGAAGCAGAACATTTCAGAATTGATTTTTTTAAATGAAGAACCTTTCAAAAGCTCAGCTGTTGCTTTGTTTGTGTTGTGGTATCACCTATAGGCTCCGCTTGAGGTTGCTAGATATAGTACTAACAAAAAAAATTCAAATCGGGAACGACTGTATCAAAACAAAGATAAATCACAAATGAGAAGCAGTCTGCATCTCAGAGAGTTCACAGTCTCGGAGGGTGAGGCAGACACAGGAGAGAGAAAGAGAGGCAGCATGGTGAGGTGGGAATCCATGTAGCAACAGAGGAGCTGTGGCACAGAGAGATTTCATGACTTTGGCCAAGGTTATACAAGAAGCTTGAGCAGAGCTGGGAAATGAGGCCAGAGCTCCTGAGACCCTTAACCACAAAGAAATCCTTCTATTCCACACATCTTCGTGCTCTTCTTCTCTTTTGCAGGCAGAAAAATGTTTCAACTGAACAGCTTCAGTTCCCAAAATTTCTTCTATTGTTTCTCACTCTGGGATTTTAAACCTTGGCAGCTCGCATTTCATTTTTCATTCACCCTTACATAGTGTCTGTTTTTGACAGGTTTATTTTCAGATGCTGCCTTGATAATAACAATCACCAATGAACTTCTCAGAGCAGGGATGAGGCAGTGACAATTTGCATGACTCAGTTTCCCTGCCTGAGGGAAATATTGTTATTGCATATGTAGGAAGGAACTGGGTAGTCTCCCATGACGTAGCACACAAGAGCCCTTGGTAGACATAGTCATGCCTTTGCAGTCCTATGGCTGCTGGAATCCAGTGTGAATGCTCAATCATCAGGAGAAGCAATTGATACTTCGGGTGGTGGAAAAAGCACCTTCCAGTACAGGGGAACACCCCCAGCCCTGTTCAATTCTGTGGTCTCACTCAACCCTGTGAGCTGCAAGAAAGGCACAGATGAGCAGTTGGTGCCAGAGCACAGGCATCCTGTTCTTGTCACCCTGTTATTGTCACCTGGTTTTTGTCACCTCATTCTGTCCAAGAAACTGAATGGGGCCAGGTGAGTGAGGCTTGAATGGATCTGGTGCTCTCTTGGAGGGATCTGGCACGATCACCTGATGCATGACAGCGATATGGTTGCAAGATGTCATCCTATCCAAACCATCTTTCAGATGGCTTCTCAGCTTAGCTAAGCACTTTGAAGAGAGCAGTACAGTAACATAGTTACAGAGATTCTGCTATCAAAGCTGCTTTGCACCACTGAGACTTACCAGCTGGTAATGTAGAGAGTTCTAGCATGGTACTACATAGAGCAATCCTTGCCTTGTGGAAATGCATATGCATGCATGTATAATAGATACTGCTAAGGAGCAAAGCAAAGCCTTGCAAGTATACCATACAGGTAGCTAACACTGGTTCCCAAGCCATCCAGGTGGTGCGGTCATGTTGCAACATTCACTTTGGGGATAATTAAAGGCACCAGACATTCAGGTAACTTGCAAGTGACTGCAGAGTAAGACTTAGGCATTCATGTTACTCATCTATCCTAAATACTGAGGGTAGTGAAGGATCAGTTCAACTAGAAAAGCAATGTCTTCCCAAGTGAGAAAAAATAAAGAAAATGTATTTTGAATAGATAAAATGCAGGAGCAGAAACGTTATTTTTAGGTCAGTTAACAACTTAAAATCATGCCGAGGAGGGAAGCAGGAAAATGAGCTTACTCCTGACTGCCACATTAACAAACCCCTGCGATGAGTGTTGTGTGCAGGTTTGTTACTTGCTGTTGTTATTTGCTGTGTAGATACTGAGGAATGTCACAGCAAGGACACCAGCTGATCCAGGACAGAAAACCAGTGGAAACAAGGACCACAGAGTGAGAACAGTGCTTGCCTTGAGCAGCTTTTGGAATTCATCTCCTGCCAGTGGCATTCAGTGACATCTTGGCCACCAGTAAGTACTTCTGCACTGGAAAGTTACTTCATGGGAAGGCATTAAACAAACTCAGCCAGAAAGAAAAATACAATTTCTCTGGAGTGTAATGTTCCTTTGTCTCACCATAGTGTAGACGTGTTGTTACACAGTTGTCTGTGTTTAGTAAACACCGTGACTTAGATCTCACTTTGTCAGTAACACCCTTGCCAGAAAGGTGAACTCAGGGGAACCTCAAGCCATCAGAAGTCCTTGCACAAAACAACCATCAGCAAGCACAGGAAGGGACCACAAACATGACTTGGACAAGGTGGTTTATGCCCTGTCAGCACATGTTCGCAGCTTTGCAGTCAAACTGTAATTCTAGCAAAATCTTACACTCGATGGCAGCCCCAGGAGACAGTGGCATACAGTGCTATCAGCACTACTGACATTTTGACTGAAAGGTAAGAAGTTGACTTGCTAGGTCATGGCTGTAGAATGACGTCACGAGACAGGCGAACTGAATGCACAGGGTATGCGTGTGTGCTTGGACTGAATCAACAGCCCTAGCCCAGCAGTTTCAGGGTGCTGCCTAACTTTCAGAACTGCTCTTCTTCTATGAGCTATATGCAACTTCTCAAACATCTGTTCAGCATAGAAGGGATTATTTTGAGACCAAATTTCAAGCTTCAAAACCCAGGATGTGTCTACACAAACAGGTGTGGATGAGTGCCTTCACTTTGCATATTCTGAAATGCAGGTGGAAGAGAAGCACACCTGCCTGCACCCAGCTGGGCGACATGTTCTTAGATGATGTTCAAACCATTGCCTTTTGCCTTTCCCCTCCAAAGAAGACTAAGAGAACCACACAGTGAATCTTAGGGAAGTGGTTTGTTCACTTTACTTACTCTTCTACCCTTTTTAACCTCAAAAATAGAAAAGCCTTTTTTTTTCCTAAAGCCTTCCCAAACTCAAAATTCATTTTCAGATCAGTTTTCATGCCTTGAAGGGAACATAGCTGCAGCTGTTATGTGTGCAAAAATAGGAAGTTATCTGGTCATTTTTTTTGGCAGCCTTAACTTTTTTGTTGTGAATCGGAGTAAATACCGAGACAGCTGGTGCACCACAGGAATCTGTGGCTGACAAAACTTCAGTGTAAGAAGCCTTATTAAGTGGTACACGTGGCAGTCCTGATCTAGAGGGTGGTTGGAGCATAGCAGCAGGCTCAGCTGGAGCATCAGCCTCCGATCAATGGTAATAGAGCAGCCCTTTCTTCACTTGTTATTGTACTGTATCACATGAGTAATATAGCGGGGGCACCATGAAAGGGCTGTTTGGTTTCTTTTGTCAGATAAATTTTCAGGGAAATTATGGTCATTTTCAATTAGATAGATATGAGTGCTGTATCATACACTAACTAGTCTTATCCTATCCTTCAAGCCAATAAATTTCATGTTAATGCTTAAAAGGCGAGACAGCTTCTATTAACAAACTTGAGTGCCAGGAAAAGATGGTTAAAGGCAGAAAAACATTGTGATTGAGAGCAGTGCAATAGATGGTGCTTTCTAACAGCTTGCAGTTTTACAACTGCCCGCGCTGTGAGGTCTTTAGTTCAGACTGCCCACACACATGAAAGACTACAAAGCATGATCTGGCTCAGACAAACAGGTATGATGAGAAAAGGTGAAAATCCCAAGGGCAACATGTGATTTTGCTGCAGGGTTGCTTTTACTTTGCTCTCTGAAAGAAAGACAGAGTAGTGAAAAGCAGTTCTGCTATTTGTGATCTCCTGCAGGACAAACAACCCAATGCACAACAGGCTGGTTTCTCCTGCTTTGCTTAACCCTGTGCAGGTGGCAGCCTCTTAACCATGAAAAGCTCAGCTTAGAAGTAACTGCTTGGCTGGAACAAGAGAAGCAGGATGGAATTCAGGGAGAATAATTTCTTACCTTAGAGTCAGCCTGCTTTTTGCTCTGAGTACCTCAGAGTAGACCAGGTTATGCCACCTTCTCTGTGAGCCATTACTACTACAAATCAAATGGATTCTCCTTGAACTGAAATATTGCTCAGTCTAGACAAAATCCAAACCATTTACACTGCCTCTTTCTGAGCTGGATAGTTTGGTACATTCCCAAAGTGAAAAAAAAAAAAAAAAAAAAAAAAAAGAAGACCATATAAAATCAGTCAGATTTCATTACAAACAGCATTTTTAATTTAGGGAAATTAGACTATATTTGAAAACTTTCCATATTAATGTAACATCTTCATGCCAAATTCATAAATGTGTAAGAGCAGTGACTTAGAAATAAATTATTCTATTCAGCAAGAGTGTAGCCTACTGTGCTTCCAATTAGTAAAGGCAGAAAAAATGCAGGAACCTTGTGAGAAGTGAGAACCTAACAAAACTACGACCAGAGAAATGCTTGCGTAGAGCTGAAGCAAAGTCTGCAGCCATGAACTGAGCAGACAACAGTTCTGAGGCTGCCACATGGCACCAGCTGCACCCTTACCCTGCTAATGCAGCCACAGCAGTGCCTTTAAGGGATTAAACCAGCAAATTAATCTACATGCTTCCAAGCTCAGATGGCATTTTAGAGTACCTCTACAAGGTTGCTTTCAACCCAAACTTATAGATATTGGATGACATAGCCTGTCACATTAAATGTGTCTCAGGATGTTCTGTCCACAGTATGACCCAAAGCATTTTCTTCAGAGAGGCTGATATGTTTCAACTCGACACCGTGGCGCAAAGTGCCATGCTTGATTGAATAACTTGTCTCCACTATTAAAATGCAAAAAAGAACTTAGACAAGCGTTTAGAAGCTTTGCCATTAAATAGTTTTCTTGTCAATTGATCTACCTTGCGCGGGGAAGACAACTACTAGATCCATCAATTGCTGGTGAAAAACTGGGAGCAGGTCTTAATCAGTTAAGAAGGGAAGCGCTGCCTGACAGCTCCCTTCGGGATCAGGCTCATTTGGGGCCTGACTACTCAGCAGGATTAGCAACTTCAAGCACCAGAAAGTTGACCTTAAACAAAGGTGAGCTCACATCTGCAAAATGTCAGTGGAACAGCACCGTGAGACAGAGCTGCATGAACCTCTCCTCTCCCCCGCTGAGAGCTGCAAGAACATTTTTCTTTTTGTTCTTTTCTTTCTTTTTTTTTTTTTTTTCCCCATCTCAAGAGTCTCACAAAACTTTTAAGCAGCTTAATTGTTTCCTAAACCTGTCTTTTCTCTTTTGGCTGATGTTTTATAGTCACGCATTTCATGTGCCTCGTGCTGTCCTGCTTGAGTTTTGTGGTTGCTGCGCTTGGGCAGAGCAGAGATTGTATTATTTCTGGGCTGCAATGGCATGCCTTTACCTCACCACGGTGAAAGGACTGCTCAGAAATGCCCATACAAAACCTCACATCTTGGGAAATCTTTCACCCATTTTATGTATAAGGTTCTTTAAAACTTCCACTCACTCCTCACAGCTCTCTACCAAAAATCTGGCTTCTTCATGCAATTAGGTTTGTGCATGTGGGTACAGAAAGTACCTGGAAACAGCCAAAACTGAGCACACTCCTGTCCCACGTGAACTACTCATGGCAAAAATGCTGCCATCCCTGTAACTGTGCACAGCCATACGAATCTGCTCCACTTTTATTCCATGAAAATAGAGCAACACTCCCCCCCCCCCTCCCTGAGCTCTGCCCCAAGTGCTTTCAACATACCATGAAATTAATTACTATGCTTAAAGGCAATGTGGCAGTCAGTCAGATGCTGTCCTTCAGGTAAAAACAGACTCAAGCAGTAGGTCCGGGTGAACCTCGTGAGGTTCAATAAATTCACGTGCAGGGTCTTGCACCTGGGCCACGGTAGTTCAAGCTGGGGGATGTGAAGATGGAGCACAGCCCTTCCAAAAAGGACTTGGGAGTACCGGGGGTTGGACTCGATGATCTCTGGAGGTCCCTTCCAACCCCTACAATTCTGTGATTCTGTGATTCTGTAAGCTGGATGTGAGCCAGCAATGTGCTCTTGCAGTCCAAAAAGCCAACTGTATCCTGGGCTGCATCAAAAGAAGCATGGCCAGCAGGGCGAGAGAGGTGATCCTGCACCTCTATTCTGTGCTGGTGAGGCCTCACCTGGAGTACTGCATCCAAATGTGGAATCCTCAGTACAGGAGAGATGTGAACCTGTTGGAGTGCATTCAGAGGAGGGCCACAAAAATGATCCATGGGATGGAGCATCTTTCTTTTGAGGACGGGCTGAGAGAGCTGGGGCTGTACAGCCTGGAGAAGAGAAAGTTCCAGGGAGACCTGAGAACAGCCTCTCATTATCTAAAGAGGGACTAGCAAAATGATAGAACACTGGAACAGGCTGCCCAGAGAGGTTGTAGAGTCTCCTTTTATGGATATATTCAAGACCTGTCTGGATGCTTAGCTTTGTGACCTGCTGGATGGAACCTGCTTTAGAAGGGGGCTGGACTCAAAGATCTCAAGAGATCCCTTCCAACCTCTGCAATTCTGTGATTCTGTGATTTTGACTGGATATAAAGAAGAAATTTTTTACCGTAAGGGTGGTGAGGCACTGGCACAGGTTACCTTGAGAGGTGGTGGATGCCCCATCCCTGGACACACTCAAGATCAGACTGGACAAAGCTCTGAGCAACCTGATCCAGCTGTAGGTGTCCCTGTTCATTGCAGGAGAGTTCAGACAGATGGCACTTAAAGATACCTTCCAACTCAAAGGATTCTATGGTTCTATGAAAGTCCATGCTATGTGGGAACATAACAAAATGTAAAAAATGAACATGTTGCCACTTTTGAAAGGTACAAAGTTATGTGAAGATTCTGGTGAAGACTCAGAGATGCAAAGGATTGATAAATCTCTGCATATGTACCAATATATATATAAATATTTGTCACCCTCACAATCGGTATGAGTTTCATTTAAGTGGAACTGAATCATCCAAGTATTCATTTCAATTACAGCTGGGTGGATTCAGGCCATAAAATTTACATGTCCAGTTTTATTTTTCTAATGTTCTGCTGG